TAACCCAGCAGGAACCTGTCACAGGGCCACCCTTGGATCTGGGATCACAGAGTGCAGGGTCAGCCTGATGGAGGGTGAAATGAGGGATTTGGAGCCTCTGTCCAAATAGCTGCCACTTCTTTTCCTTGGAAAAGGGAAGCCAAACTCTTGACAGTACCTCCAGGTACTGTCCCTGCCAAAAGTGTGATGTCATTCCCCTAGAGGAAGAAGGAAAGTGAGTTTTCTTTAGAAGAAAGCTATCAATTCATCAAATAATCACTTCCTTATCAACCATCAGAGCTCAGCTTTGAGCTGTAAAAAGCTCTCATGGAAAAATGAGCCACATTTCACTGAACAGCTCAGTTCACTGGCTGATGGAGTGAGAAAATGCAAAAAGCTGGCTGTGTTTGTACAGTGAAACTGTGACAGCTGTGTGCACTGAGGAGTGCAGGGAAAATATCTGTATTTGTGTGCTCCTGGTGCTGCAGCTGGAAAACATGGAAGGAGGAGAGGACAGAAAAAAATCCCAAAATTTGAGATGATGGTGGGACACAGAAACTGGCAGAACCAAACAGCCAGACCCTGGACAGAGCCCTCAGAGCACACCAGGTAACACAGACAGGAAAATCCAAATGAAAGGGAAAATAAACATAAAGAAGAAAGAAAACCATCCTGAATCCCATTTAGCGCAGCTTTTCCCCCAAATCAATGTCAATAACCGAAGGGTTCAGGGGCTGTGGCTCCCTGAGTGCCTTGCTGGCTCTCTCCATGATCCATGAGAGACCAGGGTGCCACATTAACCCAAACCCTGCCTTCCCTGGTCTCCAGGCCAGCCCCAGGTGATGTTTGTCCCCTCAATCCGTGCAGTGTCAGCCCTGCCCTCGGTGAGTGCAGTGATTCCCTCCTCTGCTCTGTCCCGTGCTGGATTGCATCCAGGCCATATGGATAACCCCCCTTGTGTATCCATATGCTGCAGGATGTGATGGAGGCTGCTGTGCCTGTGTCTGTGCCCTGTGCCTGGTTCTCTGCACAGCTGAGGTTGCATGTCCCCTCCTGCCTGGTGCAGCTGGGCTCACTCTCAACTCTTGCTTCTCTAGGTAAAACTCTGGGTCATGGTGCTTTTGGGAAGGTGGTGGAGGCGTCTGCTTTTGGCATTGATAAATCTTCAACCTGCAAAACAGTTGCCGTAAAAATGCTGAAAGGTACAAAAATCCCTCTGAGATCCTGCTCAGGGAGCTGGGGGCAGCCAGGGCACAGTGCCCAGCTGGCTGTGCCCTGCAGGGATGGGTTTCCATGTGGGATCAGCCATCCTGGGGGGATGGATGAAGGGGAGGATGACAGCAGCTCCGTGCTGACTGAGGCTTGCATCCCTCAAGGGAGAAGAGAGCAGCTTCCAGCTCTGTGGGGTGAGGAGGGAAACAGATTACAGAGTGTAATTACACCAGATAGCCTGAAATTGGAGCTGAGCCTTCCATCCAGCCCAGCCAGATGTAGAACAGTTCAAGGGGCTGGAAAAAAAATCAGTGCCAGGGGAGTGAATTAGAGACATCTTGCTTGCAATTATTGAAATGAAGGGCAGCTTTGCTGTTGGGTGGAGGGAAGGAGGGAACCTGGAGCCTGTTCTTGCACCCAGGGAGGATCAGCCACAGGGCGTGGGGCTGCTCCTCAGGGGCACTCCAAAGGCTCAGCCCATGCTGCCATGGCCTTCAGGCTCCATCCTGCTGCATGCCACCATTAACCCCTGCCATGCCACCAGCCAGTCACTGCTGCCACGGGACTTGGCTTCTGCTGCCAGCTGCCTCACCTGGTGCTCTGCTCCTCCCATCCCTCTGAAATCACAAAAACACCCATTTGTCACCTCTCTGGAGCTCCTTCAGGTCTGGTCTCCTCTCTCTATTTTCCTCCTTCCGATCACATTCTCTCCTGCTGTTGTATCTTCAGTTCCATGCCCATTTCCAGATCCCTGACATCCCCTAGAAGTCCCTGATCCAGACATATTCCCATCTCCATCAAAACATACTGCCCTGGACAGCTCTGGGGTTTCATTGCCTTCCATGCTGTGCTTCCCAGCTGATCCTCATGTCAGCTCTGCCCTGCCAGCACACATTCAGCAATATTTGGCAGATTCTCCATCGTTTTACACCTCCCTTCTCCGTGGAGGCAGCTCCCTCCTGCTCTGGTGTGTCCCTCCCCAGCTAACATGCCCATAATTCATCACTTTCATGAATAAAGCAGATTCTCTAGTGTCAGTTCATCCATCCAGGGAATTTAAAAGGCTGTGGGGATGCCTGCATTTCTGCCATCTCCATGCAGGATGCTCAGCTCTGTTCTGAATTGAAGCTAAAATTCAATGTGCAGAATTATCTGAAACACTTCTGAGCTGGCTGTGAGTTCCAGCACATGCCAGGGGAAATCAGGAGTGATACCACCCATGGACCCAGCAAACACTGCTGGCTGAAGGAATCTTGGAATAGCTCCATTTTTATGGCACAGTTTGGAGGAAGGTGATGGGGAATTCTACAGACAGATAAAGAGGTTACACCTGTCACACCAAATGATTTGTTATGTAACTGTTTCTTCAGATTTAAATCTTACATGATGCAAAGGCAAAGGAAACAGGCCAAAGCCTCTCCTGTTAGAATACATCATGGAGGTTTTGGAGACAAGGCTGGGAAGATAAAGCAGCACCTGAACAAACTTCTGGTCTGAGGGTGCCTGCTTCAAAACAATGTCAGTGGCCAGCCAGGGCCCGGTCAGGTTCATGGCTCACACACAGATCTTACAAAATTAATTTCTTGGGTCAAAAAGGTCTTGCAGGCCTGAGCTTCAGTCATGCTGTGTGTTCCCTGGACATTCTGGGACACAGCTCCCAGATCTGGATTCCTCCTGCCCTGCAGTGGAGCGTTCTGAGGTGCTGTAGCTGAGTCCTGCTGAAGTGCACAGCCCACAGAGAGGAAGAACACCCTCTGTGTGCTGGGGGGGCTTGCAGGGTTGGCTTTGCTAAGCTTGCAAATGTGAGCCTGGCAAAGGCTCTGTGGGATCAGCTCTGGGGGAAGGAACCATAACCCTCCATAACCCACAGTGGAGAAAGGAAGAGCCACCAAAAGATAAAGTGTTATCCCACTTCATAAAGGTCAGCAGACAATGAAATGGATGAATTATTATCTGTGTGAGTCTGAAAGGCCAAGATACTGCAAGGAACCTGGGTGGGTTTTGTTTCAAAGGATAAACAGGATCTTGCTGTGTCCTGTTGAAAATATCCTGTTGTGTAAAGATGATTTTTTTCCTGTTTATCTTAAGCAGAATGTGCAACTACTAATGAATGCAAGGCTCTAATGTCTGAGCTGAAGATCCTCATTCATATAGGACATCACCTGAATGTGGTCAACCTGCTGGGAGCCTGCACCAAAGCTGGAGGTGAGGAGTCCTCAGGAAATCAGGAGCAAAAAAGAAAACATTTTCCGACACTTTGGGGTGTTTGGAAGTGCCTGTGGTGCAGTCAGTGCCAGTGCAGCCATTCCCAGCTCTCTGCTCACAGCAGAGCTCTGCTGCTCCTCAGGATGGGGCCTCATCCCCCCAGGGCTCCTGAGCCTCTCCCACTGTGGTGTCACCTCTGTTCTCTCTGGAGGCACTGAGGGGAGGAGAACACTGCATTGAGGTGCCCAAGTCCTCCCCGTGGGCATTTCCAGGCTGCTTCTCCCTCTCCTTCCCTGCCTTGTCAGGAGGATGCACCAGGCTGAGCCCTTGGCTCCCTGAGCCTCCTCTTCAGGCAAACACAGCCAAAGCCTGGCACAGCCCTGGGTGCTCTCTTTGCCAGCATTTCACCCTCTCCAGGCAAACACAGCAGTTTCTGCTCTGTGCACCAAAGCCTGGGACAGCCCTGGGTGCAGCAGGAGCCGGGACTTGCACGGGGCTGAGCAGGACTGAGCTGTATCATAAAGTCCCATAAATGCCAGACCTTTTGTCACTAAAACATCCCTTCCCACAGTGCCACACAAAGCAGCCCTGCCTCTTCCTGGGCTTCAGCCTCAGGGGAGCAGCTCCTGAGGATGGCTCCTCACTGCTGACCCCCAAAATCTGCAAAACCTCCCCCAAAAATCAGGTTTAGGTGATCCAAGGGCAAGGGAAACCCCAGAGTGAAAGAAATGAAGGGGGGAAATCAGGAGAGATGTGCACAGATCTCTCATCATCTGAGACCCCAAACCCATCAATTTCCAAGTTTTTGTCCAGTCACCAGGGAAAAGGAAAATTTCAGTGAGGGAGATTTGGGAGGGTGCCAGGGAAGAAATCTTTCCTCCATCAAGGTGGTTGCAGTTCCTCAGGAAAGAGCAGCCAGCAGCCATGGACACTGCTGGGGTCTGCTGCTCCAGGAATTCACTGCAGAGCCCAAAGCTTGTGTGGGAGCAAGGGGCTCCAGCTGAGGGATTTAGGGTCAGATGCAGCAGCCAGGAGCCTCTGCTGGGGCCTGAGAGCAGAGGGGCTGGGACATGGCCATGCTGGGGACTCTCCTGGGCTCACAACTCCCTGAGGGAGCTCAGGACCCCCAGGAGGGCCCCAAGCAGAGCCTCAAACCAGCAGCAGGACCAGGGCTCAGTGGTTCTTACCCAAAGCAGCCCCAGAGTTCTGCTTGTTCAAGACACAGCTCAGGACTGATCAGAGGCTCTGACTGTCCCATTTCTGAGAAACTTTTTCTCCAGGAGTTCCTCCATTTCCCATTCTCTATCCTGCCCCGTCCTGGGTGGGAGGTGACCCTCCCTCCTCCCTGCCAGCTGTCTGGGCAAACCTTTGGGGGCAGAGTGTGGGGCAGAGGGTGCAGCAGGACCCACAGGGCAGGGAGCAGCCTCAGGCAGGCTCTGCTTTGTTCTCCTCTGAGCACTGCAAGTGCAGACTAAAGAAAAACAGCCTGCAGCTCCAGAGGCAGACACAGATCCCAGCTCCTGTGAAATTCCAGCGCTCTCCCTCCCCTGTTAGGCTTTATGTAACCGTGTATTCCTGATGGAGGCTGCTATTAAGTATGCACATACATTATTTTAACAAGGTATCAAATAACAGAATTTAACACTTTGCCGGGGTGTCTGATGTTCAGCAGTCAGAACTAATGCAGTGTGTGCTTTACAATGAGGGAACAAAATATGGGGAGGCCATGTCTAGGAAGCGTTTCAAAGCCATGAATAAATCACTATGCAGAGCTTTAAAGCTGTTCTGGAATCTGCATTTCCTCCGGGCATCCATGAGGGACATTGGATTTTGGGTTCTTCAGAGCCAAATCTCTTGAGCAGGGCCAGATGCCAGCACTGAGCAGAGCTCTGGGGTCAGCACTGGAACCACTGGGATTTGGGGATTTGGTGTTTTTGCAGCCAGTGAAGGTTTTCAGGCTTGTTTCAGCTGCAGCAGAGGGGCTGGGGGGCCTGGAGAGCCCCAAGGTGTGCACTCAAGGTGCCCCAGGGCTGGGTGAGTGCAGAACCTGCAGGAATCCACAGGGGCTCAGTTCTCCCTGCAGTGATACCGCAGGTTTGAGCTTTTCTGTTTTTCACATTCTGTGTTGCTTTAGGGTGTGGGTCTGGGCTTCATGTTAGGGGATGGTGAACACAGAGCAGGGAGGCAAAACAATTCCAGCTCCAGCTGGGCACCAAGGACAAATGATCCAAATCTCAGCCCAAGAGCACAAACACCGTGGGCTGAGAGAGAAAAACAAGGATGGGACTTCATGGGCTGGAGCTGTAATTAGACAATGAGCTCCAATATGGAAATGGAGCAGAACTGATCAAAGTGAGAGACCCCATGAGCGGTCAAGGATTTTGGAACCATTTTGGTTCATCTTGGGTGCAGCCCTGGCTGGGCTCTTGTGCTGCCCAAGGTGCTTCCATTGAGGCCTTTTAATAAATCCCTACTTTATTCTCTAGCTCTGTCCAGCCTCTGTTCTAGGGCAGCCTTCCCAAGGCATCAGCAGGAATTCAGCATCTCCCAAAGGCTCCTCTGCCTGTCCCACACTGTCCCGGGGTCACTGCTCCCTCCTGGTGCCCTCCCTGGCAATGCTGGACCTGGAGTGACTGCAGCCCTGCCCCTGCCCTGCCCTGAGGATGCAGGAATTCCAGCAGGAACCCTGCTGAGCTCCTTCCCCAAGGCCAAGGGCAGCTCTCAGCACTTCCCCTTTGAAGTGCAAACCCCTCAGTCTGAACCAGGGACCTTCTCCAGAGAAAAAGGTTCGGGAGATGAAAGTCTCGGTGTTTGGGGTTGATAATATTCCATGTTTATCCACATCCCAGTCCCATGGATTCACCCTGTCTTACATTTGATGATATAAAGGTCCAGAATGCAGCTTTTCCCTTCCCTAACATCTCACACTGCAATATAAAAGCATTTTAAGCACCTCTTTAAAACCTGCATAATTGTGTAAAAGCAGCACTGACTCTACAGTGGTTTGTAGAGGAATAAGAAAAAAGTGAGAGCACTTTCCAGGTTTTCAGAAAAAGGCTTTCAGGCTTTCAGAAACTTCACTTTTTCCAGAAACTTTTTCTGTTTTTCCAGGCTTTGTCTATGGCCCTGCATACTTGGATTTCCTCTGGTGGCATCAGCTCCACCCAAAACAAACAATTGTGAAGCCAGCAGAGAAAATGAAAACTGCTCCATGTGCAGAGCAAACCAACCTCAACAGCCTCTGGGATTGTGTTGATCATCCTGAATTTTCCTTGTTTATAAATTAGGAATAAATACCAACTGTTACCATCCAGTGGGGAAAACTAAGAATGTGTTCCCTTCTCTCCACATCCCTACTGGATGTGTCACTCCTGTGTTTCCTCATTTCCTCATCTGTATAACAGAAATGCCATTTATTTTGAAGAGGATTTGGTAGGATAAATTAGAATTATGTGCTTTGCAGTGCTTCAAAACTCATTTGACTTTCACTTTTTTAGGTCCTTTAATGGTCATAGTGGAATATTGCAAATATGGAAATCTGTCCAACTATCTCAGAGGGAAAAGAGGAGATTTCATTGCATACAAGGTAAGAAAATGAGACTTTTTCTATCACAAGGCAGGGAATCAACAACCACTGACAAAGCTGGATTTGCTCTGCACTGGCACAAGGCAATTGGGTATTTCTGTGGGCACTTTATTTCTCTCCACATTTCAATTTGTACAAGCAAGAAGAGGGAGGTATTTTCCCTGCAGGATCTCACTGCTGTCCTCTCCTAGCATCTCCTAAAGAATGAGTTGCAAGTACCCAAACACTCCTGAGCCCTTGAAAGAGAGAACTCGGGAGATCCTTCCCAGCACAAGGGGGGCAACAAAATAGCAGTGAAAAACTGGCATTAAGTGAACTAGGAGAAAGTGAACCCTCCCAAAACACAAATCTGTTTGGGGTATTTTTGTTTCTAGGCCCCAGGTGAAAGCAGTTCATCCTTCCCCCATCCGCTCATTCCATCCTCTGTCCCTTCCTGTGCCATCCCTGAAGTCTGTGCTGTAACACAGCCTGGATCATGGATATTCCACATCAAAACCAGCCAAGGGTTTGGTTCCCAGACAGCTCTGCATGCACACAACATCTGTGCCAGCACAGACTGGGCTGGGATGGGAGCAGGGCAGAAATCAGGGCTGGGAGGGATGGCACTGACTCCTTGTGAATATCCAGTGTGGAACAGGCTCAGTGACCCCAGCCCTGCCAGAACTGCAGCCCCACCAGGGCTGTTTTCCCAGATGACTGCAGGATTATAATTATTATTATTATTGTTAAAGCTATTGTGTGCAGGCAGCAAAGTACGTGAGGGACTTTGTGTGAGTGAAGGAGCTTTTCCTGGTGCACTCCCTAAGAATTTCTTTCTCACCATTGTTGCCATGAGTTGAAGGCTGGCTGTGCCTCACTCTCCAGCACAGTGCCCATCATGCACCCACCCTGAGGGGATTTTTAGCATCCTGAGACAGCAAGAGAATTTACAGTCTCTTTCTGTTCACCTCTCAGTCTCACCCAGCCAGCTTTCAGCTAACTCTGGTGTGGAATATTGCTATCAGTGAAAGGGGAATAATAAGTAGGAATAAGTAGGAAACCAGGCTTTATAATTTATAGTTAGAACTAATAAAGCCTGGTTTCCTATTTATTCCCACTTCAGGAAATATAATGTTCAAACATGCTCATCTTCAGAGGACCCTTTCTCCTTATGCCATTCTGTCACATATTTTGAATGCTCAAGCATTGCATCATACAGAGTTAAAAATTGGGTTTATGCCATTTCTAGTCCCAGGAAAACTCTGACCAAGCAGAGAAGAGTCTGGATGAGTCCAACAGTGACTTGACTGAACTGATCAAGAGGCGCCTCGAGAGTGTGGCCAGCACAGGCAGCTCTGCCAGCTCAGGATTCATTGAAGATAAGAGTTACAGTGACTCAGAAGATGATGAAGAAGGTAAAAGAACCCTACCTCATCCCAAATCTTTTATTGGAAAGACTTCTGTCACTTGGCTAGTGCCACACACACTGTCCCACACTTAACAAGCCCTTACATGGCTTGGCTTGTTCCTGAAATCCCAAATTCTCCCTCTTGCCTGTTCCCCACTCCAACTCTCTCACAAAAAGAGAGCTCTGCATTGTGTACAAAAGCTGCTCCTGTGGTGTGAGAGGAGAAACAGGAATGTTTTACCAGACTTGTGGGGTCACTCTGTCCCTGGGCTCTTGTCTATAAAGTTTCCCTCACTCCAGCCTGAGGTGTTGTTTCCCCATAGCTAAATGAGTGACTAATGGATGAGGGAACTTTGTTAATCTCTGATCTGTCTCTGGGTCATTGGTTGCTCTCCCAGAGCTGTAACCCTGCAGAGATCCCAGCACAGTGTGTGGGGCTGGAACCATCAGCCCTCAAGTGGCACCAGTGGCACCCAGCTCTGGAGCTGTGCCACATCTCTGCCACGTTTGTGCCACGTTTTTGCCATGTTTCTGATCTCTCCTAGATGCTGAGGATCTGTACAAGAGGCCCTTGACTCTGGAGGATCTGATTTGCTACAGCTTCCAGGTGGCAAAAGGCATGGAGTTCCTGGCCTCCCGAAAAGTGAGCTCATTAAAGTCTTCTTGCAGAGTATCTGATGTGAAGGAACCCAAACACACTCTTGACTCTGAGAAATCTGCTTTTTGCTCTTCTGTTAGAGTGCTGGAGATCACGTTAGCTCTGGTGGTTAAGCAGTAATTAGCACTGAAGGGGCTGTGGAAGAACATTCATCATGTTCTTGGCTGCAGGGATTGGCATCTGCAGCAGGAGGGTTTAGATAGAAGGAGTGAAGTTCTCAGAAACTGTGAGACAATTTGTGGAACTGCCTCATAAATAAACACAGAAAAGCTTGTAGAGAATGCTCCTTTTAGTGTGGTGAACAACACCACTACTGAAAAATGAGGAGGGAGTATCCAGTTATTCCTTTGGTTTGTCAGAGGTGTTGGGACTGTCAGCAAAGTCAGCACTGCTTGGATAAACAGGAAGCAGTTTGCAGCCTGTGGAAGAGCTTTTCAGGTAAATTCAGTGTAATCCACGGGCCAAAGTGTGCACACAACTGAGCCTCACTCACACACAGCCACCAGGGTGTTGGTTTTCCCAGCTTTTACAGAGATGGAGCAACTGAGGGGCATTTTAAAATGTTTTATTCTATTATCAGTCTCAATGAATACTGAGACACAAGAGATGTAAAACCATTCCATCAGAAGCCACCGTATTTCCTGGTTACAATACCTTAGAAATGTTTTTCAGCCCATTAGCTTTTGCCACACAATGCTGCTATTACTCCTAACACCAATCACCTCAATTTTACCCCATGTGGTCCTGCTACAATGCATCTTTCACAGTTCTAATTCTCTAAAATATCTGATCTTGTTGCAAGCCCATATTCTGAAACTTATTGAAACTTGTTTCTAGTTCAATCTCTGTCTCAATGTTATCTCTATTGTATGGCTTTCCTAAGTTAGCATACCTTATCTCAGGGTTTGCATACAGGTGTACAAGACTGTGTTGTGACCGTGCTCACAGGGGTCTCAGGTTGAGGGAAGAGATGAGGATCTGACTCCATGTTTCAGAAGGCTGATTTATTATTTTATGATATATATTACATTAAAACTATACTAAAAGAATAGAAGAAAGGATTTCACCAGAAGGTTAGCTAAGAATAGAATCACAAAGAATGATAACAAAGGCAGCTGTCTCAGACTCTCTGTCTGGGCAAGTTGGGCTGTGATTGGCCATTAATTAGAAACATCCAAGATGGGCCAATCACAGATGCACCTGTTGCATTCCATAGCAGCAGATAATCAATGTTTACATTCTGTTCCTGAGGCCTCTCAGCTTCTCAGGACAAAAAATCCTAAGGAAACGATTTTTCATAAAAGATGTCTGCAACACTGTGTGAGCTTTTTGAGAGGTTTTGAGAATTCTTTACAAACCCATTTCCCACACCAGGGCATCCCCCAGAAACCGTGAGCAGGGTTATCCCACCTCACACCCTCCTGCACCTGCACTGGCCAATGTAGCTGCAGCTGTTTTTTGGCCTGTCCAGAATTTCCCAAATAATGAGAAAATAGAGCTCCCTTCCTTGTTGTAACTGCAAAGTTATTTCAGACAGAACAATCAGAAAACTGACTCTAGTGTTGGTTTGTTCCCTGAGTTATTCCCCCTTTTGCACATCCCAGTGTATTTGGAGCAGATTCCCACTCATTCTCTGAGCTGCTCCCAGCGCAGTTCATTTCTTTCCCCTTCCCAAACAATCTCTCCTGCCTCCACCTGGAGCAGGAGCTCCTGCCCAGCCCCCTGTGACCCTGTGTCCCTCCCTGGCAGTGCATCCATCGGGACCTGGCAGCCAGGAACATCCTCCTGTCCGAGAACAACGTGGTCAAGATCTGCGACTTCGGCCTCGCCAGGGACATCTACAAAGACCCCGACTACGTACGGAAGGGAGATGTGAGTGCAAGAAGCTTCAGTGGTTCCCCTCAAGCTGGGCTTGGGCACATCAGTAACAGCAGATCTGGTAACTTCTTGTGTCTCTGGCCTTTAGGCACGGCTTCCCCTCAAGTGGATGGCTCCAGAAGCTATTTTTGACAAAATTTACACCACGCAGAGCGACGTGTGGTCTTTTGGAGTGCTGCTGTGGGAAATATTTTCTCTAGGTAAGAATGGTTTCAAACTCTTTTTTTCCCCCCTAATTAATGGCTGCTTAGCTAAGAAAAGCTTTTAACAAAAGGTGATCATATGGGGCAGTGCTTCTGTCTCATTGGGATGAGTGCACAGTGCAAAGCAGGTGTAAAATAAAGCCAATTTCAATGAGAACTCCACCTGACAAAGGACATGAAAACACTGGGAAGGGGGATCAAAAATCCAAACTCCTGGACCTAACATTTGTACCCACTGAAAGCAACAGAGCCCAGAGATAAAATGCAAGCCTCTGCTGCTGGGAGGAGTGGGAGGTTTCTTGGAGAACAATGAAGAAATTTCCCATCAAACCCCACCTGCTTCAGGGAACCCCACAGCTGCAGGGTCACCCTGCTGTGGGCACAGTGGCTCAGCCCATGCAGCATGAACCCACATGGTATTTTATCCCAGCTTGACCATCCACCCCACAAAATCTAAGATTTTCTAGGTAAGAAAAATCTCCTGGCAGCAGCAGCTGTTGGTCGGTGCAGGAGCAGTGCTGGGCTCAGCCTAAACCCTTTTGGCAGCAGACCAAGGGTAGAACGTGGGCTCTTGTGGCTGCATCATTTGCAAGCCACAACATTTCTAAAAGAATAATAATGATGTTCTTTATGTAGTTGAGATGTCATCCCAGGATGCTGTGAGAAATCTCAGCCTCTCTGAGCTCTGGTTTCTGTCCAGCAGATAAAGCTGTGAGACCAACACAAGCAGCCCTACAGACACTTGGACTGTGCTGCTCTCAGATTCTCCTTGCAGAGGGGCAACATTTGTTTCCCTGAGGGAATTTAGGAATGTCAGCTCTGGCTTTTTAATCAGCATTTGCAGACAAAAGAAAACAAGAAGCATTGTCAACTTAAGCTGCTGGATTTTAAAGCAAACTCTAATCTGCTTCTATCTTTGGTTCATGGATCAGTTGAAATTAATGATTGGGCTCAAGATGCCAAGTGCAAATGCAAAGTCTGGAGCTGTTTCTATCCTAATCTTTACTTAGGGCTGGCTGCAAAATCATAACCTGCTCTCAGTCCAAGTCTTTGATTTGGACTTTCCCTGCTCCACATCTGCACACCCAGCAGAAAGTTCACACTTGAGTGGTTGAAACAAGTGGCAGCTGCTGCTTTCCCTGGGGCTCAGCCCTGGTTTTTGGGCGTTGTTATTTTGGGGTGAGCCCTCCATGGCTCTGTAACAGCATCACCTACTGCAGGTGGAGAAGCAGCAGAGAAAGGCAAAGCTCCAGAAGCATCAGGAGTGCCCTGGTTTTATCAGATTATTCAGGAAGATGCTTTAGCATCAGCATCCAGAGACACTCAGGGACAGGCTCTCCACTGGGAACCAAAGGGATGGAATGCTGATGAATCCAAGGGGCACTGCAGGAACAAACTTTGTATCACTCCCAAAGGTCCTGACAGAATTTAACAGATGGCCTTTAATACCGAACACTAATACAAATTAAAATCCAGTCCGTGAAATTCACCTCTATTTTAATCTATTTTTAAAAAAACTTGTTATCTGGGTTCTTTTAGCCCCTTTCTTGGCACTGTCCCCTTCTGAATTTGGCAGCTCCCATTTGGCTCCAGGGGCTGCCACCCGTGCAGCAGCCCCTGCCCTGCCTGTGACGTAGCTCACAAACTGCTTTTGCACTTGGTGGCACAGGCTCAAAACCAGTCATTTTCTCTGAGAGGGTTTTTCATCCAGCTCATCCAGGCATGCCTGTGGTTTGGCACTGCTCACATCTGCAGCTCAAATGATAAATATTTAATTAAGGATTTGTGTCACTGATTGAATTCTGTCATATAAAAGTTTTACAGATCATTGAGAGCCATGAGATGGAAGTTATTTGTCGTTGCCACAGGGTGTGTTTTGGCTCCCATTTACAGCTGCTGCTCTCACTGGGTCCCACAGGCTGAGCACCCTCTAAAAAAGGGAAAAATACTGATTGGGAAAATGCAGAGTGTAGTTTGAGTTGTGAAGGACAATAGGCTAACTGCAGAAAGGCTGCATCTGCTTTGGTGATACACAGGGAAATCAGGACTTGAGGGAATATTAATTTCCATCTGGGGCTGAGTTTGCAATGAGCTTTAAATTATTCCAATGGGGTCAGCACACCTCGTGTCAGGTGGTGCCAGCAGTGTTTAACACATCCTGAAATCACTAATGGTACAGAATGTCAGTGTCTCCTGGAATTTCAATGTGCACTGTTCCAAAAGCAATCAGAGATAATTATGTAAACAAGCAGTGCCTGGTAGTAACATCAGCATCTCATTATCCCACTAAAATAAAACCAAGATCAAAAGAGGGCTCCCATATCCAATGCATGCCACATCTTTGAGCATTTTGAAGGAGATTTCCCCTAAGGAAAACATCATGTGTAGGCCTTACACCATATGTTCCAGCCTACATTTCTCCCAAGCTGTCTCAGCATTCCAAATCCAAGTTATCAGACTGATCCCATAGTCCAGATAAAGACAGTGCTGAGTGGAAGTGGGAAAGGGAGAGTTCCTTGCTTTTATGATCTGAGCTGCCTCCAGCTGGTAGGAGGCCAGCACTGGCCAAAATATAAATTACTAAAAGATCCTGCAGTCAAAAATTAATCATAGACTCATGGAATGTTCAGGGGTTGGAAAGGATCTTTAAGATGATCTATTCCCAACCCCTCCTGCCATGGACAGGACACCCCCTGCTAAACCAGGCTGCTCAAAGCTTTATCCAGCCTGGTTTGGAACACTGCCAGGGTTGGGGCATCCACAACCCCCCTGGGCATCACCACCCCTCATAAAATATTTCATCCTAACATTTAAGCTAACTGTCCCTCCTTTCAGTTTGTCCCAGTACTCCCTGTCCTATCACTGTTATCCTTTGCCTTCCCTGTATTTGCTCTCACCAACATCTTGCAGTTGATCTGATCTGTGATGAAACCAAAGAGAGAGGGCTCAGATTGTGAGAGCAAGTGGGATTCTCCATCCATGAGATGAGCAGATAATTCCCAAGTTATTCTGAGCATGACAGGCCAAAGGCAAGACTGGGAAGGAAAATCTGGGTATAAAGCAGAAATGGTGCTGCCTCTTTCCAGCTTACATAACTCCAGGAAGCGCTGTCAGTCCTGTGCCCTGGTACTTGCACATCCAGGGAATTCAGAAGTGCTGTGGATAAGGATTCCTGGATGTCCTGGGAGCCCATTTGAGCTGAGATTCCTCCTCAGGCAGTGCTGGGCTCTCAGCTCCCCAGTGCAGTCAGGCTCACAGAGGAGAACAATTCTGGAGCAGCCACATTTTGGCCCCTTCTTCACTGCTTTATCCCAAAGATTTCTGCTGCTCTCGTTGTGCCCCCAAGTGCACAGCACATGATGGTGTTTGCAGGAAATATGCAGGAATGTTATAGCCAGTAAATCATACACAGATTCCTCCAGGGCTGGAAACAGATTCCATTCAATCTCCCATGTTAAGACTTGATGAAATTGTTTCCAAATTCATCATCCAGCCTCTGGGATGCCAAAATGTCCAAGACAAGGGGTGTGCTGCACAGGAAGCATTGGCTTAGGGGGGAGGTAGAGAGGGAAGTTACAAATCTTTTCATTTTATCCACTGCAGGTTCAGTAGCATTTTAAATCTCAGCTTAGACTTCTGAATTTTACCTGTGAGCTCTGGATTACTCAGATGCCAGAGCACTCTCCCAAACTTTTGTGGGGGTTAACACAAAGCTCCTTCACAGCTTTCAACCTCCACAAAACAATTCCAGTTGCCACGAGCTGTCCTGCCAGGGTTCCGCCAGCACTTGAGTGGCACTCAAGGTAAACAGTCAGGAAAGAAAACAAGGCTGGAAGGGTGGAAGGTCACTGTCAAGGGAGCCTTCCCTGGAGGATAATGCATCTCCAGTAGCTGGTGAACCAGGAGAGGAGCAACTCCACTCATGGGATTGAACCAAGGTTCTCGTGGTCCTTGGCAGGGGCCAGGTGCCCACAGCCCCTCTGCACCTCACAGGGGCTCTGAGGCCATGAAGGATGAGCAGGAATTGCTCACTCTGTGTGTGTATCCTCTCAGGGCAGGATACTGCCAGGGTAACTGCTTGGAAAGCACCAAGGAATCCATTGAATGGGCTGGAACTTTTCAGCCACTGACCAAGAGATACTTTAGTCTTAAACTGATCAAGTTTATTTATCCTCTGCCCTATTTTACCTTGGTATCACAAAAGTGAGGAGTGGTATCACAAAAGCAGAGGAGACAGTGTGATTGAAATCTCTGAAGGGACAGAGTGAGTCTGTGAGGTTTCCAAACAAAAAATGCAGATTGTGAGTGACTGCAACTCCTCCTTCACTTGAGCTCGTGTTACTGCCAGGCTCTGGGTGACATCCAATGCTCAGCAGAGATGCCCTGGGCTGGGACACAGACTGTGCCACCCTGAAGCCCTGTCCTTTCTCCCCCCAGGTGCCTCTCCATACCCTGGGGTGCAGATAGATGAGGATTTCTGCCGGCGCCTCAAGGAGGGGACCCGGATGAGATCTCCAGAATATTCCACTCCTGAAGTGTAAGAGCTGCTGGGAGCTGCTGGGAGCTGTGCACCTCACAAAAGGGATTGTGGGGAGGGAGAGGAGAGCACAGCTGGGTATTTTATGGTCAGTAAAGATGTGATTGAGCATATTCTGGGTGTCTGACAGCACAGACTAATGCTAAGGACAGCCCAAGTCAGCCTGACCTTTGCCAACAAGAAGATGATCAGATACCCCATGTCAGCTGCAGTTCATGGAGCTACTCATGTGGTACTACATGGAGCTACTCATGTGTACATGCAGCTACTCATGTACTACACTACTCATGTAGTTCATGGAGCTCAGACTTCAGGTTCTGTGACAGAAACCCAGTAGCCATAACCAGGAGTTAGTTCAGCAGCATCAGCAGGGCCCAGCAGCCAGACTCTAAGTTAGGTGAAAACCAAAATCCTGCAGGCTCAGGAATATGGAAGCAAAAAGCATCCCACATGGAAACTAAACCCGAATTTCAGCATGGGGAGATCTGAACCTCTCTCAATCCAAAGACCCACCCAGCCAAGCAGCAGTGGAATGGATGAGTTTGGAAGCAAAGCTCTCATCCTCTCCCATTCCTAACCCCTGTGTTCTCCTGCAGCTACCAGACCATGCTGGACTGCTGGCACGGGGTGCCCACGGAGAGGCCGACGTTCACCGAGCTGGTGGAGCGCCTGGGGGATCTCCTGCAGGCCAATGTGCAGCAGGTACTGCAGGAAATGTGCAGCTGGGGTGTGCATGGGCAAGGTTATTAAACACCACTATGAGATTTCACCTCCTAGCACAGCTCACTAGGAAAATCCCTGCTGGGATGAGTAAAGACAATGTTAACTACTCAAATGTTAACTTTATTTCTGATTTTCTTCGCTTCCTGAACTTTGTCTCTCATTTCCAAGTTTATGTTCATCAGTGCTCTTGGGAGCTTTGCAATTATGCAGTTTAAAGCACAGAAAATCAGGTATATAATGATTAATTTCATAATAGTTAAACCAGTTGTTTTCTTCTTCAGTAAAAACAACCAGATCAGTTATGCAATTGTCAATTTAATTGAAGAAGAAATCAAATACTCTCCTCCAGCTCCTTCCTGTTTGTAAACAAATTTAGTGGAGCTGAGTTGAAGAGGGCCCAGTCTGCAATATGAAGAGCTTGAGAGTTTGATTCTATAACCAAAGTAAATTGAGGAGACATAAAAATCATGATAAGGGAATAGGGCACTTAACTGCTTCTCAAAATTAAAAACAAAAAGAAGCACAGGGAAATTTGGACAAATAGTTTCAGGAGCTGAAGGCAGAGTCATTCCTGAGGATTGCTGCAGGGGGTAATGACAATGCAGAGCTCATTACCATGTGCAGCAGCAATTCCTGGGAAGGACAAGAAATTCAATCCTTTCAGGCTCCCATTTCAGGCCTGGCTCTTCCCAAGCTCCTGAAGTTGAACAAAACCAAGCAGTGCATGGGCCATTGCTTCTGACCTGGGCTGGAATCTCCCAGCCCATGTTCAGCCATCCCACATCACAGGGTTCCCAGAGTGCCCCAGTTCCCTCCCAAAGCCTCCTGCACAGTCATTCTTGGATGAAGTGTGCATTCTACTTCCATAACTTCCACAGGGTGTGAGAAACATGATAATCACCTTGAACAAACATCACAGTTAAGTTAAAACCCAATTTAGTCCTTTCTCATCACAAAACTCTATAGGATACAATAACCTCTCACATCTGAGAAGCAGCACAAAATGAACTTTACCAGCTTTGTGCTCTTTTCTGTTTTTAATTTCACAGGATGGCAAAGACTACATTCCACTGAACATCACCTTGTGTCCAGATGGAGAATCCAACTCCAAAACCTGCCCTGTGGAAGAAAACCTGAATAATGGAGTGAATCGCTGGAGTGCAGTAGAAACTGGGTGAGAAAAGCAGACACAGGGTGGGGGGAAAGAAACAATTCCCTGTCTGGTGTCCTCCCTTGGTATGGCTGGTGAAAGAGCCAGACAGGTTTGTCAGGGTGTTGGTTATTAGACACAAGAGGTGACAAAAGAGAAGTGGTCCAGGACACTGGGCTGTGTGAGGAGGAAACTGAGCTGCAGCTGGTGCAGAACCTGCCTGGGCTTTGTGCTGACCCCTTGACTTTGCTGCTTTCAGAAACAACAGCAAGAAGAGACCCCTGAGTGTGAAGACGTTTGATGAGGTGCCAGTGGAAAAGGAGAAAGTGATGCATGAGGTAAGAGAGGTGACTGCATCCTTCCCCAGCAGGTTCACAGATCACCAGAAACTCTCATTAGAGCTTTTGGAATAATTTGGTAGGAGAGAACTTTGAATCAGGCAGAGGATTTGGCTCTGGCACCTCACACCCAGGGCTGTGTGACAACAAACAGGGACCTGCATTTCTCCTAACAAATAATTTAAGGAGCAGCTCACATGTGATTGCCCTGGCTTTGATCAGGCTAAGGAGCTTTATATTCAAGACATATTTCAAGATGTTTTTCCACCATAAGAAAGTGGCAGCTCATTGAAATGAAGCTCTTGGAGGGAAATGTGTCCAGAACACATCCTGGCTGGCCAAGACAGCCAATCACTCATTGGGGGTGAAGGTGTTCAGTTCTGGGTAGACAAGAACAGGATTCAAGATCCTGGTCTTGATTCACACAAAGGGCTTAACCCTGGGTTTTCCTCACTGCAAGTGAATGTATTTATTGCCAGTTTAATGCCATTGCAGGGTGGGAAAATGTTAAAGGGTTTAATTTTGCTCCAGGGGAAAGCAAAGGCTTGTTTTGTTCCAGAATAAGGGTTCTGCTTGTTGGCTTCCTCTGAAGTTATGGGTGGGATTTTCTTATTTAAAAAATCCCCAAGAACAACTCCTGAATTCCCTCTGTGGTGCAGGCAGCCCCTGGCTGCAGCTCCGTGTGCTGCCTCAATGGCACCTTCTGTGTCCCTGAGGAGGACAGGGACATTTCTGCAATGCACAGATGCTCCAGGGGGAGCAAAGTTTATGGAGAAGGCCTGGATCCCTCAGGAATCCTCCTGGCACAGGAAAGCTCCAGCTGAGGGTCCCTCTTGGACAGAGCCATTCCTCAGAGCAGCTCCCTTGGGAAGGCTCAAGTCTGCAGCTCCAGCTTGTCCTGGAAATATCTCATGTCCTTGCCCAACACAGCCTATTTGTCATTTGTTCTCTGCTGAGCACAGACTGAGGCCCATTATTGCCTTCTATTTTCCCAGGTGGAATTTCTGCCTCTTTATCAATGCATCTCAGGGATTAGCAGGCTTAGAAATTTCCCTGGCTCCTGCATCTTCCCCCTTGCAGGATAAAATCTGTCCCTGTGAATCACACAAAGACATTTGCTAGATCAATGCAGTCTCTAGAGATTATTGCTGCCAGCAGGAGCATTACCTGCCTAAGAGCTCCCTGTTCATTTTCTAATAAACCTTTACATGAGGGGGAAAAGCTTCCAAAAAGGGTGATAATGCATCAAGAGATCAGAAATAAATGTGATGTTTCAACAAGGGTCTTTTAAATCCCAATCAGGGTGTGATCTGCTTTTGGACAAAGTAAGTGTACTTTGCTTATTGAAGTTTTCTTCATTATCAACCCTGAATAGTCATTAGGTCATTATTTCAAAGAGCTGCCTGAGCTCTCCAAGTGCTCCACCACACCTTCCTGCCATTGTGAATTATCTGTAATCTCTGTGGAGATTCTTTTAGCAGAGAGGTGTAAGCAAAATGCAGAACCCCCCAGATAAACTGTTCCTAGAGCACGTGTTTGAAGGGGAAACAGTCAAGATAAAATCCAGAGCCAAGCTGGGTTTTACTGAGGGTTTGACAGACATCATTAATTCAGGATTTCACTTTATACTTCATAAACTCACTTATAAACTGATCTTATTAACAACTGACAGATGACCAGAGAATATAGAAAAAGGCTTTTATGGTTTGGTGAGATTATTTTTTACATCTTGATCGGTTTGACTGGCTAAATAAGAGTAAGTAGAGTTTCTCTTCTGTGTTGAGGGCTTCTGCTGTCTTGGTTTTGACAAATGCACAGATGTGCAACTTCCCAGCATCACAAAATATTTCAAATGCAAAGAAACCCAGAGCATTTAATGTTATTAAATAGCTTAAAATGAGGACTGTGATGTCTGTGTATTTGCATAAACTTAGCACAAAGTTTAACTGCAGCCTCAAGACTCAGCTTTAGGTGCAGCAGAAGCACAACCCCAACTTGAATCAAGACAGTTTTGTTGGACAGCTCATAAAAAAATCCATAAAGGCCAGGGCCATCCATCTTTACAAAGCACTTGCATTTACAAAATGCTGCTGAACTTCCACTTCCTTCAAGTCCCAGTGTTTCTAATTGTGTATTTCCAGTGGGTATTTAAGGAGCTTTTCCTTGGAGGAGCCCAGCCAGAATTATTGGATATATTCTTTATGAATCTCAGTCTATTCATATCTCAGCTATCCTACGTACATGGTGCCCATATGTCATGCTTAATATCCGTTTCAAATTTGAAAATGTCAAATTATTTTTTGATATGTTCATTTTAAGGGTGCTCTTTTGGAAATGCAGATCAAAACCTTTAATGTCATAAAAAACAAGGGAAACATTCCCAGGCTCCAGAGCAGCATTACCAGGAGTTTTTATCTTGGATGAAAACTGATAACACAGGCCTTGATAAAAGAACATCCTGAAGGATTGGTGGCTCCTGCAGCAGTCCCAGGTTTTTAAGGTGTCCCTGATGTTCCCTTCCTTTTGCTCCCCAGGAGTCTGACAGTGGCATGGTGCTGACCTCAGAGGAGATAAAAAGCCCCAAGAGGTTGGAGATCCGTTCCTGGCCCTATGGGATCATGGCTCTGGCGTGAGTACTCTGGGGGATTTCTTTTTCAGACTGTTCTTCCTTTCAGAGAAATGCTTTTGAAATGTGCAGTTTGGTTTCTGCTGCCAAGAGGAAACCTCTGGATATCCAGGCAAGCTGAGAGGAGATGAACTCTGAATTTCAGCCCCATAAGCAGAAAACCTTGGTGATGTGTTTTAAGATCAAGGGGCAGCAGATTCTGCAAATGGAAGATGATAGGTGGAAAAAATGAGAATACAGAGGTCAAAATTAGCTGTTTGTTCACTGCCTCCCCAGTGTTCTCTCTTAGTGATGGAGCAGAGTTTGAAGAACTTGATTCCTTAATGCAAAAGCTGACATTTGTAATTATAGCAGTGTGTGTATTGAAGTCAGACAGAGGGAGTGGCATATCTGCAGTTCATGGAATGTGAGTAAACTTAAAATACTTGTTCACAGCAAACAGCAGTCCTTTACCAAAGCCCTGATTGCTTCATCATCACTGAGACAGAGCTGCAGAGAATTCCCTAAATCCCACAACCCCTGTAATCCCTGGGTGCTGTTGTTCACACCTGCTTTACAAACAGAGGCCGGGACTTCGCTGTTTGTTTATCCACTTATAGTACAATACAGAAGATTAAAAGCAGATTTTTTGCTTTTTCCTCACAGTTCTTTGTATTTCAGTAACAACCACACAGGCAGAGGTGATCCACTAGTGAAAAACTTCTCCACCTTCCTAACAACATTTACCCATTTTACTGATTCAAATGTCAACATGTGGAATTTCAAAGAATAGCTGCTCAAAATACTAAAAAGATATATTATTATGTAGCAATGAATTCCTTGTCTATTCAGTTAATTAAGCTAATTACGACTTGCCTAGAGTTTTCTCTGGAATCTGCTGAGCTTTGTATGAATTTTCTGTGTACTGAGGAACTCCAAGACCTTTCCCAGCAGAGCAGTTGCTTGTTGTACACCAAGTAACCCCTTTTCTGCACTAAAGAGAAGTGAGGGATGAGAAGAAGCCTGGTGCACTTCTGGATATTCTGGGAGAATTGCCAGGAGAGGGCATGGCCAGGGTGGGGCAGTTCTGGAGGGGGTGACTCCCACTCAGAGGGAAAAGCAGATGGAAAGGGCTTGCCTTGTCTTTTGGTGCTTTAGAAGCATCAGTTTCCTGGTGTTTGAGGGCAGGAAAGGAGGAAAAGGGAGAAGAAGAGAGGGGGGAAAGGGAGAAGGAGAGGAGAAGGGAGAAGAAGAGAAGGAAAAGGGAGATTTCCAAAGGAAACATGGACAACACTAACAGGAGCATTAGGATGCTGTGGATTGTGCTGGAGGCAGTGTGGCCTCAGGAATGTGTTGCCCAGCAGTATTTTCCCTGTAGCAGTGTCCCAGGGCTGGAGCTGGTGGGATTAGCAAGATCCTGATCCATTTCCATGTTTTTACCCCCTGCACACACCCAGAGCGTTCCTGCCAGCACAATCCATTGCTATGGAGACCAAATGGCAGCAGCTCAAAAACAGGAGCTGAAATGTCAGGAGCTGCCTTACTGTGATGCCTCACCTGGGCTGATTCACCTCTTTGCTGCATGATGTCACACTGACACAAATCCAGCAGCCTCCCTGGTGGCGTTTATCCCTCTGGGGATTTCTGTCACCCACCCCTGACAGCTTTTCCCTGCTGCATTTCTCCTGTTTGGATAAAGAGCTGGCACAGGAAGGTTCCCCCTCTGCCCCTTCGAGCCTTTCTCCTGAAAATCTGAGAAGTCAGCACCCAGCCAGATGTGGAAACACAGAAACCCCATAGCAGCCTGTTCTTTAGAGATTTCCAGGGAAAGCTTCTGAACTGCCAGCAGGGGAGGCTCTGTGGGGCAGTGAATCCCTGCCTGGCCCCACCACTGGGCTCTCCCCACTTCCACTCAACATTTCCATGGGATTTCCATCCAGCTCGAGGTTCCTGAGCCCTTCTGTGCCAGCAGAGCCTGCAAGGAGCTGTGCTGTTCTCCTGCTGCCACAGCACCCACAGAGCTGTGGCTCCCCCTGCCACGTCCTTCCCTGAGAGTCTGAGCTCCAGCTGAGAAAGATTTTTTGTCAGCTGCCTTTTTTAATTTTTATTTTTATTTTGAATCTTGCAGACCCTCCTTGGCACAAAGAGCAGCTCCAACAGTGCAGAGCCCTCTGGTTTGAGGACAGGACACCCCTGGGTGCTCCTGCACTGACAAGAGGCCAAACAAAGCTCAAAGCCTGTGGAACATTCTAGAGAGGTCAGAAGAGAGTGTGGGTTTAACAGGGGAGATAAAGTCACCCTTGTTAATGGTGTATCTCTCTCTATCAAAAACATTTACCCTGGATCCTTTTCAAAGTCTTTCTTTGCTAAAACAAAACTGTTCAAAGGCTTAGCATGTTTTCTAAACCAGGGTGGCTGCATTTATTATTTTTGCCAAAATCTCACTGTTTATTTATGCTGCATTCATTCCTCTGTTGAGTTTAAAATTTGCCAACAGCACACACCATGGAGTGTCAGTGTCAAGAGTTTAGTGAGGATGAATCTGATACTCTGGGCCTGGGCTCATTGTTAGGCTGCACTAAGCAAGGCTGAGTTTTTCCTTTTAGAGCAGGAAAGTTCTGGGTGTTTTATGCTGCTGAAGTAGAAAGTCACAGCAGTAGCTGCAGTGGGAGATGGAAAGATTGGCTGGGATAACAACATTGGAATCAGCATTCAGGGAAGCTCAGGGAGCACAGGGGATTTAATGAAGGGCTGACTCTGGTGTCAGCTCCCAGCTCATAATATTATCAGGCTACTGCCAAGCACTGCCTTAAACCCTCCAGAGACTCTATAATCAAGTTATTGTTTAAGATGACAAAAGGTATCTGCTCAGTTGTCCTCCCCCAGCTCTTCCCTTCTCCCCCAAACCCAACACCCTGTGCTGCTCAGAAATCCCTGCCTGGTTGTGGCCCAGGCCCACAGCTCAGCTGAGGCCCAGCTGATCCTCCCTGGGCTCTGGATGCTGCACCCACATCCCAGCTCTGGGCTCTGCCTCTGCCAAAACAAGCTGGGCCCAAGGCAAGGCAGCAACACTGAAATGTGGATTTTGCTCAGCAACAGCAGACATTCATGTCCAAACACACAGAACACAACAAAAATACAGCCAGGATTGTCCTGGAATCCTTTCTCAGCTTCTCACAGAAACAAGGCATGGAAACATGTTTGCTCCAGGGCAGAATGGAGCTCAGAAATAATAAATACTTTTATTGCTGTGCTATGCAGCACCTTGCACTGTTACCTGACCTCAGGTCTCCAAACTAGAACTTGGAATGAGTAGCTACTCAGGAGTTATGTAAAGCACTTTTTTCCAAGGATTATTCCCTGTGCTGACAGTAACAAGGACTGGAAGGGGAATTGTGAGAGGCTGTGGGTTTGACTGCAGTGTTTTCCATCCCACTGCTTCTGGACAGGGACAGCTGAGCAGCCTGGCCACACATGTGAGGGGACAGGAGGGTGGATTTGGCCTGGAAAAACTTTATTACCTGCACTTTGTGTTTGAAAGTGCTTCCAAACAATGAATTCCTGAGCCCAACTCCTCGAGTTCTGCTGCCAGCAGAATGCTGATGTGCTGGTGTGCCAGGGGGAACCCAGGATGAAATTCCTCCTGCACAGCACTCAGCTGAAAATGTATTAAAGCAAACTGTGAATCAGTCATAGCTACCAGAAGGAAAAAATAATCCTTTTATTTCTTTAATTGCTGAAAAATTAAAATTAAAAAAAAGAAACAACACTCTTACTCTGAGCCTTATTAAACACCTTTGAAGGCTCCTACAAAGCCCTGAAGCTCCTACATGTTATTAGGAGAGGTAGTCATGAGACAAACTGCTCTACTTGGCAGCAACCAGCTCAATTTCTCATCTTTCCCTAAACACAGCCTCTGAACATGGCCAGGTTTCCTACATGGACAGAAAAGTCCACTAGTTTTTCCTACTGAGAGCAAAATACTTGGGGTTTTTATTGCAGAGCAGGAGGAGCTGCTGCACTTGGGGCAGGAATCCCTCCCTGCACAGGGTGATTTTCCTTTTCCTCCACAGTCCCCTTCAAGTCATTGACCCCAAAGTGTAGATTAACAGAAATTGCCTCCCTCTCACATAAAATAAACAGCTCCACTAATGGTTTCCCAGCTCTTTGATGGTTTCAGTATTTTTCTATCTCCAAAATCTCTGGTTTTGTACAGTAGGAAGAAAAAGCCTCAGCAGGTCACTCAGGCCTTCAAGCTACTGCAGGATTATCCTCTGTGGTATCTTCTAAACAACTTTGGTGCCTTCAGAAAACTAAAAAGTTTGTGGAAGATTATTTAATAATCAGGCTGTGTCCCCAGACAGGACACCTTGTGCGTGGAGAGTGAGTTCTCAGGGTGGTCACTGCAATTTGTGACAAGTTTGCCTCAGTTGGCAGCTGAACCCCAGCTGAATGTTGTGGTGTCCCCCTGATCCTCAGTGCTGGCCATGCTGGGGACACGGACAGGGGAGCCTGGGCTGGGACAGTTCCAGCCCTGAGCAGATTTATCCAAACTGATTTATCCATTTACCTCTGGTGGGCTCCTGTGACCGTGCTCACAGGGGTCTGAGGGTGAGGGAAGGGATGAGGATCTGACTCCATGTTTCAGAAGGATGATTTATTATTTTATCATATATATTACATTAAAAGTATACTAAAATAATAGAAGAAAGGATTTCATCAGAAGGCTGGCTAAGAATAGAAAAAGAAAGAATGATAACAAAGGTTTGTGTCTCGGACTTTGTGTCCAAGCCAGCTGACTGTGATTGGCCATTAATTAGAAACAACCACATGAGACCAATCCCAGATGCACCTGTTGCATTCCACAGCAGCAGATAATCAATGTTTACATTTTGTTCCTGAGGCCTCTCAGCTTCTCAGGAGGAAAAATCCTAAGGAAAAGATTTTTTCAGAAACATGTCTGTGACAGGCTCCCACAGCTCTGCAGGGTCAGGCAGAGCAGAGCAGGGAGGAAACACCTGGGGGGCAGTGCCAGCCCAGGAGAGGCCCTGAGCCAAGGACTGGCCAGCTTTTAATGAAATCAGTTTATTACATATCCATCAGTGACCTCTGGAGTGCACAGCTGTGTGATTGCCCAGTGCAGCCCCTCCAGGCAGAGGTTGTTTGCTGGGGGCTCAGGGAGAAGGTCCCTGCCTGTTGGGAAGGATGAAAGTTTGACCAGAAAGTCTCACAGATATGGATGCTTGGCAGAAAGGTTTTTAAATGTAGAGTCTGATGAAGGAATAGAGATGGAATCAAGTTTTGATATAGAAGAAAAGAATTGCTGAGCCAGTCTTACTGGATAACCAAGGGTGTGTTCGTTAGAAGGGGTTTTTATGGCTTAGAGGAAATGATAAACCCACCCCAAACAAGAAGATGTTTTTACCAAGCAGGAAGAGAGCACAGGCACACAAGCCTGCTGATGTTGCAAGTAGAAAAAAGGTCTCAGAATTTTCCACTGCAAGAAAACTGAAAAACAACTTCTAGCTTGAACTTTAATGTACTGACTTCTAGTGATTGGAGAACAGTGACATGAATATGGTAATTACAGTAGTTATGATAGGCTATAGATAATAGTAAAGGTATAGATTGGTTCTGCTGTATGAAGATGCTCAGCAAGGAAAAGTATATAATGCATTGTAACCAAACCAAAGGGTCTCTGGGCCTGCCTGCAGCTGGAGCTGACAGCTGTGGGCACAGCTCTGTCACCCACAGCCCTGGATGCTGTCACCCCTTGGATACAATAAACTGCATTTTGGAGAGCCCCTGGATTCTCACATCCCCCATTTAGGCTCTTACCTGCCAAGGGGCCGGGCCAGGAAGGGATTTTGGGGACCCTGGAGCCCCAGGCACAGAGCACAGCCAGGCTGGGGCACATCCTGAGGTGCCAAGCACAGATGGAGAGGGAGGAGCAGCCTCATCCCCAGCAGCACAGCTGTACATGCACAGCAGGCTCTGTCTGTGACAGCAGCATGAAAGGGGAAAATGCAAAGCCCCACAGAGAGCTTTAATTAGGAAATGCATTGAGATGAAAGGAATACTATATTGGAAGTTAATTGCATTTTGGTCCGCCATTAGATAGCAAGTGACACAACTTCCTTCTGACCCAGCTCAGCAGCTCTGTCTCTGGAGCAGAGGGGACATTCAGGAGTGCTCCAAAGCCCAGCCTGATCTCAGCACCAGGCAGAGTTATTTATTCCCAGATATCCAAACTCCTGACCCACAGGGGCAGGAACCCAACAGAAAACTTGCTGGGAGTCTACAGGGGGCTGGAAATTCCCCTTTTAACCCTAATAACCCATAGATATGCAGGTTGGGGGCCAAATTAAAGTGTACTTGGGGGAAATGAATTTGTAAAGAGTTTTTAAAGTTTGACAGAAGGTTTATGTAGCATGTATTTATGTGTAAACATTGATATAAGAAATGTTGACTTAGAAATGTTATGGAATAGGATAAACATTGTTGAGAGAGAAATAGAATTAGAAATAAGTTTTAAAGGGTGGTTTTGTAAGTAAAACCAGATACTTTAGAGAAAGAGAACTATGAAAGATGTTTTGTAGTAAGACTTATGAGGGGTAGTTTTAAATTATTAGTTTTAAGGCACTTACAGTATGCCCATACTTACAGTGCTTTAAAGCTAATCATTTAAAACTACCCCTCATAAGCTAATCATTTAAAACTGCCCCTCTCAAGCTTCCAAATGAAACTGATGCTCTCAAGCTTCTCCCATGACAACTTTAATACCTGGCAAATTGGAAGCCAGAGCATCCATGGAATTGTCTGACACGAGCCAATGGAGCTGAGCAACAAAAGAGAATTCCATAAATAAACAAAGTTGTGGTTGCATGGCTCATGGCAGGGAAGTTTATCTGCAGTTTATCTGTGTGTGGAGAATGGACAGCTGCCAAACCTGCAGGATACAAAAGGAGTTTCCACTCCTGTTTCTCTCTGGACAATGAGGTAAAAGTTGTGAAAGCAGAGGGTGCTACATTTTTGTTGAAGTTCTCAGGGTTACTGTTTATTTTAGAATTTCTGCTCTGCCACTCCACAGGTTTGGTTTCAATGCCTTGTGCAGGTCTGAAAGCACAGAAACAGCAGATTTGTTCTATAAACTGCAGCAGTCCTGGAAGCCAGGCTCATTCTAGGCAGGCAAGAGGTGGTGGGCTGGCTCCTACAGCTCAGGCTCACTTCCCAACGCTGGAGGTGCAAACCTGCCATGGAAAGCCAGCCCAGAACACTGAAATCAGAGCCTGAATTAACCAGCCCGTGTCCCAGTGCAGCTGGTCAGAGCTCAGCTGTGTGTTGTGACTGAATCTGGCTGCACAAGAGTTTAATGGGTGATGTACAGGACATGAGCACCCATTCTGTGGGTAATTCACAGATGGAGCCTGCAGGCTGCTCCTGTGCAGGATCCACTGTTCCACTCCAGCCAGTGCTCTAACACCTGGGATCTTTCCAGAACCAGCAAAAAAATTATTATTTTTTTTTTAAATATAGTGACAGTGGTTCTGCCAACCAGTGGAAATATCTGCAGCTTGTGGGGAACCTGAAACTTTTGACAGGTTCCAGATTGAGAGAGAACACAACTTGTAAAGTCCCAGCAGCAGAAGCCAGCAGGGCAGATTGACCCTTTCCAGCTGAAAGGAGCTCTGTGTGGCCATTGAACCTGCTCTCTCTGCTGTACCATCCAAAAAACACCACACACACACAGTTCCCATCCTGGATCTGCCATTTTCCTGTCCATGGCTTTGCTGCCCTCCCTGCAGTTGCTGTGTGTGGCTCCTGGCTTTGGTTTGTTCCCTGGAGCAGGAACTGGCTCTGCTTTCTTCCTAAAGCACCCCAGTGAGAGAATGAGCAGCTGCTGGAAGCACTGCACAAGTGCCAATAAAATGAGTGTAATTATTTGATGAACTGTTGACTATTCAGATTTGGTTTAGGGTCATTAAAATGTAACTTTATACCACTTTAAACACATATGAAGCACATACAAAAAGTGCTTGGGCACTGCCTGATTTTTAATTCTCCCAGGCACATTCAAGCCATTCTGAGCTGAGGCTTGAGCAGTGCTGTGATGAGTCTGTGGCTGAGGTTCCTTCCCCAGAGCTGCAGTTAAAGGGTCCTGAGCAAAGTGCAGCAGCTCAGAGGCCACTCCACACTGGAATCCTTTAGAGCACCCCTCAGTTATCCAGGCCTCTTCCAAGGAAATGCTCAGTGTCCTGGTTTTGCACCACAGAAGTGCAAACCAAGGTTAACAGAACACCCTTTTTAAGGCAGCCTGTGACAGAAAGAACCTTTTGAGTTCTCCACAGCCCTTGCTGTTCCTCAAGGTCATTTTGTGACACAAGTTTCAGGGTTCTCCTGCTTTGAACCCTGAGGCTGCTCCATGTGATGGAATTGCTCTGTCCCACCCTCCATCACCTGGAACAGGGAACAAAAGCAGCTGGGATGCTGCAAAGCACTGCCCTTCAGTGGGTCAGCAATGTTCAAGGGCTGGGAAATATAAAAGGGATTTTGCCCTGCACTGCCTGGGTATGTTCAACACACGCTCCTGCTTTCAGTATTGGTTTAAATTAGAGTCTGCCAGAGATTATTCAGTATTTCATCCCTTATCATGCTTCAAGAAAAGTCATAGCCTTCAGTTCTGCTTTCAGAAAAGTCAAATTTTTACTGACCTGTGTCAGAACAATGAGGGAGGATGTTACTGTGTGTACAGGACAGGTGCCTTTACAAGTAAGAGATCTGTGGTGCACTGAAATGTGGTGAGCTGAAAGGACAGGGCAGCAGAGCTGGAATTACTCCTAAATCCACTTTTAAAACACAGAGTTATTTAAAATACCTAGTTCCCTCATCCAGTCAGCAAAATTGTCTTACAGATTGCCATACAGATAAATTGGTATTTTTATGTATTTACTTCTTCAAGAGATCATTTTGACCATTGGTTACAGAAACAGGCTGGCTACATCCCCATGTTTGTCCCAACAGGAGGAGAGCTGTGAGCAGGAGCAAGGAATCCATCCTGGCTGACCACGACAGTGTCAAGTACCAGCCAGCAGTGCAGGTGGAAGAGGACACCATGGAGTTCCCCCTGGAGGACTCTGTGCTGCTGCCCATGGAGCCCAGCCTGGAGTGCCACAGCCCTCCCCCAGACTACAACTCTGTCATGCACTACTCAGCCCCCCCGGTGTAGGCAGTGCCCCAGGGCTGAGCTCAGCCCTGCCAGGCTCTGCTGTGCCCAGGGAGCCTGGGGGGCACAGGAGGGAGCTCTGCTGGGGTAATGCTTCACACGTTTCTTCTGGCACATCTCAGATGGGATTAGAAACAATTTCAGAGCATCTTCTCTCTTCTCTTTAAAGGCCTGCAAGGCTTCTCTTTAAAGGCTTGCAAGATCTGCAGTGAATTAATGACATTGTCTGTCAGAATCATAGCAGGAGCTGTAACCCTGAACTGCTGCCACTCCTCCCCCTGGCTGGGGCTGTTCCTTGGCACTGCCACACCCACAGGTTCCTGCATCCCCACTTCACCCCATGCCAAGCTGGTTGGGAACATGAGATTCAAGCTGCTGGCCCTGACACATCCTGCAGGATTGGTTAGGCCAGTGCTCCAAGGGATCTGTTGAAAACAGCAGCAGCCACATGAATGTTTTGGGCTTGAAGAAAAGCTGAAACACCCTTCCTAACTTGGGATTTCACCTCCTGTAAATATTTCTGAAATATTTTGCAATCCAAGGTATTTTGGTTGCAATTTGGATTTAGTCATTTCCACTGCCCAGAGGAAACACTGCTGAAGATGGCATGGCCCAGAGCAGGCTGGTAGTGCCCGTGTGTCAGCTCTTTGGGCAGCAGGGCACACAGTGTGGTTAAACCTGAGCCCCTGGGCTCTCCCCTTGTTCCAGCAGCAGTTTATTCTGCAGACATGCAATAGGGAACCTTGCTGGAGATGCTCTGTAATGGTTGCAAGGCAAAATCACTGCCTTAAGCAAGAACCTTCTCAACTCAAACAGAACTTCCCAGCTCACACACACCTTTGTGTGAATGTGCAGAAAACTCTCATTACCAGCACAAGAGTTACACAAAAACTCACACACACCCTGGAGGCACCAGCAGGGCAGCAGCATTTTTATGTTTCCTTTCTGCACACAGGCTATTTACTGAAACAACACACAAAACAGAAAACAGCATTTCCTCTGGATTCTGTGGGGGTGCCCAAGGGTTTGGCCCTGGGGATACTCTCCCTGTTAAGCTGCCAAGCCCATGTGACACACAGTTCTCTCTGTCTTGCCAGGGTAAATACTGGTATCAAATGCAAAGCCCTTCCTGGTTCAGGGTAGTTCAAAGCTGTTGTTGCAGCAGGACTGAAAGGATCACAAATTCTCCCATGTGAGACACTGACAGTGGGTTTGCCCCTGCCCCAGAGCTGGGGGTGGCAGGGACAGTTACAAGTGTGCCCAGGTGCCCTGTGTGCCCTGTGCATCATCACAGCAGCCTCACAAATCAGCAAATCATCCTTAGCCTTTCATGTGCTCTGTAACAATCAGAGTTGGCTTTAAAATTTAGGAAGGGAAAGGTCTCCAGGTTGCAAGGAGAAAAAACCAGGATGAGCAAGATGTTCACTGACAGTGAGGGCTGTAACCTCCTGAGTTACAAACTGCTCCCTGCACAGCTTCCTCCAAGCTCTGCACAACCCTTTCCTTTTCTCCCTTGATTTGACTTCTTCAGTGGAAAAAGAATTTTTTCTCATGATTCAGACTAGAGGAGGATGAAATCCAAGCCTTGCAAAATGATGCTGTTACCTTGGCAAAGACAGCTGCACGCCCTCACAGCAGCCAAGGAAGTTTTCTGGATGAGTGCTTGCAGTGGGCTGTGCTGAAGGAATCACAAACAAGCCTCAGGTATTATCAAAGGGGAAAACAAATCTCCAAACCCACCCCATGTTAACTGTGAACTCTCAAGCATCTGAAGGATGGGCTCTGGGGAACTGCACTGCTTCTTCTCCTTGACTTCAGAGTCCCTTAGAAATCACCTGCAGTCCCTCCAGAACCCCTGCTCATAGTGCACCTGCTAGATAGGTGTGGGCTTTAGTTGCTTTATGGTCATTTTGCACTGCTTTGTATTTTAGTACCTATGTATTACATAGAGCTGGTCAGAGAAGAGAAGAAACTACTGGGAAAGAATTCTGATGAGCCCCAGGAAGCTCACTGGATTGGTTTTCCATCAAACACTGTTAGCTATCTATAGCTCTGATCAATCAGCTGGTTGATCAGTCAATCAGTTCTTGTGGAAATAAATGACTGATGAGCAAAGGAAGAGAAGGTGCAGCCTGTGTGTGGCTCTGCTGTTGATGCCTCAGCTGGAGATGTTTGTCACTGCACCTTGGGCTGGAGGATGAGAAAACAGCGCTGAAAAACCTTCACTGAGGAACTCTGAAATGCAGGAACCAAACCTGCAGGTGTGCTCTGTGTTTTGAGGCGCATGGGAAGCTCTGCTCTGCTGGGGGAGCTGAGCACGGGGCCTCCCCTTTCCCCTCTCTGCAGGATGAGCTGCAGGGCAGAGGCACAGGAGCACATTGGGGAGCCCTTCTGGCTCTCAGTGACACCCACCAGCCCTTCTGTGCCACCTGAGGTGGTGGCACGGGCACAGCTCCGTGCTCCAGCTGGTTACAGCCCAGGTTGCACTGACAGTCCCACTGAGGGCTCCCCTGAGCACATCAGCAATGGAAGGGACTGACTGATGTTTGGGCAGCTGTTTCCAATGTTGTTTCATGGAAGATTTTTTTCCTCCTTATAGCAAATGTAACAAGCAAAAGTATTGCCTGAAAAGTATTATTGAACATATTCTATTTTATTTACTAATATTTTGTTTGTCCTTCTCTTGCCTCCCTTAATTTAATTATTGTTATCTTCTTCCAATGATGTATATAGTGTACCCTGTAGCAACAAATATAGTATTTCATTTATATGGTAAAATTTGTAACATTTTAGTCCAAAAAGAAAGAACTACCCAGATGTAACAGAGTTAAGTATTGTACTAAACATTTCACTAATGCTTGCAGGCCAGGCTCCAGTTTACAGTGCCCCATAGTGCCATGGCACAGCAGCTCTCTTGGCTGGGAGTGCCTCTGCCTCTCACTTCTTCTCCATTTATTTAGTTTCAGTTAGGAAACAGGAATCTGGAGGAATTTGGCAGGTTTATCTCATTCCAGGAGGTGTCACCATGTGCAGCATGTGTTAAAGGTGAGGGATTCCCACTGCCTGGGTTTTAATTGGAGGCTGGTGGATTGGCTAGAGGATCAGAAGGGGTAAATTGTTTAAATGATGTGATGTTTATTATTTTTTCAGACTTCTCAGGGATTCTTACTCGACTCCTGTCTGCCAGCTGCTTTCTCTAACCTGAGCTCAGTGGGATCTGTATTAACATGTACCTTTGTTCCTTTGATGGTGCTCACTCCTCCTGCTTTTGTGCTCCTGGAGGCCCAGAGAATCAGGGCCAAGGAACCTGGAGCTCTCCATGGAATTTTGTTTTCTCTGCTCCAACAATCACCTCCCACCAGTTGTCCAAGTGCCTTCACCTGCATGTTCTTGTTCAGGCTGGTGTTGTAACAATCTCCTGTCTCCCCTTTTCTATTTTTCATCTGTTTCCTGTTGATTGCTCTCCCAGTCCCCTTGGATTGCTTTGCTCTGCCTTTTCCCTAAGATCAGGTGTAGGATCATTTCACTGCTGTTTATCCTGTGCTTGCAGAGGCTGAACTAGATAACCTAAAGTGAGATTTTCACATTAAACCCTCTATATATAGCCAAGGAAAATTAGTTTGTATTAGTTTGTCTGGAAGTTTTTTGTGTCCTTCCCTGAAGAGGAGAAGCTTTTTAATCTACTGATTTTTCAATATTGGTGTCTGGAGCAAAATGAAGGCTGGTGACTCTGTGAATGTGATCTTTCCCAGAGTGCTTTTCCTCAAACAATGAGGTTTCTGTAAGGTTCTCCCCACAAGAAGGGGATCCCCAGCAAGGTGTATCCCAAGTATCTGCTTGGGATGTCAAGGGAATCAGATAAAACTCAGAGTCTGAGTAGTGGTGTCAAACAAACCCCTGAGTGCTGGGGGTGAACACAGCAGGGCTCTGCTGACACCCCAGGGACACAAAGCCTCCCTCCCTCACCTGCCTGGGCACCCCAGGGCACCCCAGGGCACCCAGGGGTTCCTGGCACTGGCTTTGCTCTGTGCTCCCTGCAGGAATCTCAGCTGCCGTGCAAGCCTGCAGCTGGGTCCTGATGTTTGCCCTCACTTATCCTTCATGTCCTGCCTCACTCTGCAGATTCCATCTGGCCCAGCCCAGCTCTGGGGATGTGGGCTGGGCTCCAGGATCCCTAAATCCCACCAGCACCAAGGGGACACACCAGCAACTGCTGCAAACAGTTCCTGTAGCAAATAGCTACAGAGCAAGATAAGCATTATCAGGTTTCCCTGAACACAGGAATTGCTCAGGGTCAGAATCACACTCACAGATCAGCCTAGAGGTTTTTCTTTATCATACAGTGAATTAAAACCGCCAAAAGGCAGCAATAATTCTTTTTTTCCTCCCTGGAAATGTCATGGCCAAACATTGAGATCCATTTTCCTGGGTTTTTACTACCCCACAAAAGAACAGAAAGAATTTTGCCAATGTCACAGCACCAGCACCATCTTACACAAGTGAAATTCAGGGAGGAGTTTGGGATTTGGGCCTCTCAGGAGTCAGGCAGTACAGGGGACTGTGGAGGTGCTGAGCCCAAGCACTGGTGGTTTGTTTGACATTGTTATTTCCATTTTTGTGAACATAGAATGGAAAACCTGCTGGCCTGGGTCAGCTGGGACCACAAAAATGACAGGGAGAACAATGTGGGATGCACTGAGCACTGTCCTGTTCTCCTGGTAGCACTAAATTCATTTTTCCTTAGACCTTGAGTTGTCAAAGCAGCCACTGAAAACTGGGAAAAAACAGAAACTTGGGACCTACAGAAATAAACGAAGGAAAACTGGGGAAAGCCAGGAACTTGGGACTTACAGAAATAAACTACAAAAAGTCCCAAGTCCCAGGAACTTGGGACTTACAGAAATAAACCAAGTGCCATGTTCAAACCACCAAGGAATGTTTGTCTGCCATGTTCCTGTCTGCCTGAAGAATGTATGCACTGAAAACAACGCTTTCTTATGTAGTCAAAAATTGTACTGTATCTATTAACCAAAAAAATAAAAAAGATTCTATATTTATACAGCCCAGGGCTCCTCTGTGTCATCTCTTGGTTTGAAAAGTGTTGTCCTTGAAGCAGAATAAAAATAAATAATGCAACAGTTTTGAGAGACTTTTGCAAGGCATAGATC